GGGGTTCGGCTTCAACCCACTTAGTAAAGTAGTCGACATCGACGACGAGGTATTTCTTGCCCCCCATTGCTTGGGAGAAGGGGCCGAGGAGGTCCATTCCCCATTTGGCAAAGGGCTAAGGGCTGCTGAGGGCCGAAATGTTGTGGCTGGCCGATGGCATAAGGTGGCATGCCTCTAGCATTTGTCACATCTTCGTACTAGCCCAGCTACGTCCTTCTGGAGTGTTGGCCAAAAATACCCTTGCCTTAGTGCTCTTTGAGCTAAGGTTCTACAATCGAGGTGATTTCCACAAATACTTTCGTGAATTTCTCGGAGTGCATACTTGCCCTCCTCCTGACAGAGGCATTGGAGGTAGGGTAGGATGAATGACCTGTACAAATTTCCTTCGAGCAGAGTGTAATGGGCTGCCTGACGTCAAAATCTCTTGGCTTCATTCCTATCGTCAGGCAGTTGCTTGGTCAAGAGGAAGTTGATGATGGGGTCCATCCATGACAGCTCGACTTCTACCGGGAAGACCTGTGCTTCTTCTATGGAAGGCCGAGGTAGTTTTTCTACGCGAACGGTGTGGCCGAGGGTTGCATCCGAGGTGCTTGCCAACTTAGAAAGAGCGTTGGCTCTCGTAATTTCGGCTCGTGGGACTTTTTGTAGAGAAGAGTCAGAAGTGGCGAGCTAGCTCTTGAACTTTGGCGAGGTATTTGGCCATGCTTTGTTATCTGGCCTCGTACTTGTTGTTGACTGGATTCACCACAAGTCACGAGTCGCTGAAGACTTCGATATACTAGGAGTTAAGGTCCTTGGCAAGCTGCAATCCAGCTAGGAGGGCTACATACTTGGCTTTGTTGTTGGACGTTGGGAAGTCAAACCTCAGTGCGTACTCTATTACAATATTATTTGGGGTGAGAAGGATAAGGCCTGCTCCACTTCACCTAGCGTTGGACGACCCATTAACAAAGAGTTTCCACACGAGCTGAGCTTCCTCATCCGGTCGATTCCCTTCTATTTCATTTTCGGGGGCTCAGCGGAGGGCTCGGCTGAAGGTGCATTCAGCTACAAAATTCGCCAAGGCCAGTGCTTTGATTGCGGGCCTCGGCTGGTATTGGAGGTTAAACTCTAGGAGCTCGACGACCCACTTAGTTAAACATCCTAAGGAATCGGGTTTGGTGAGGACAGCTTTAAGGGGCTGGTTCGTCAGGACTGCAATAGTATGGGCTTGAAAGCACGGCTTGGGCTTTCTGGCCGAGACTACGAGGGCAAAGGACAACTTCTCTACCTCGGGATACCTGGTTTCGGTGTCGCAGAGAACCTTACTGACATAGTATATCAGCTTTTGTGTCTCGTCCTCTTTTACCAGGACTGAGTTAACGGCTTCGTCCCTGGCTGATAGGTACAAATATAAGATTTCTCCTGTTGCAGGTCGAGCGAGGAGGTGGGTGAGGTGAGGTATGCCTTCAGTTCGTCAAAAGCATGCTGACATGCTGACTCTCCTTCGTCCACTGAAAATATTTTAGTTTCTTAATGGCTAGGAAGAAGGGAAGGAGCGGTCGCCGACTTTGATATGAAGCAATTGAGGGCAGCTACCTGACCGGTAAGTCTTTGGGTCTCCTTCACTGACCAAGGTGGTGCCATATCCAATATGGCATGTACCTTGTCAGGGTTAGCCTCAATGCCTCTTTGAGTGACGACGAAGCCTAAGAACTTGCCCGAGGTGATGCCAAAGATACACTTACTAGGGTTAAGTTTCATGTTGAATCCTCGCAAGGTATCAAAGGTCTCGGCCAGGTCCGAGGTGTGTGTTTTAGCTTTCATGCTCTTTACCACCATATCATCCATGTAGGCTTCAACGTTTCTCCCCATCTGGTTTTTGAATACTTTGTTGACGAGGCATTGGTAGGTAGCTCCCATGTTCTTGAGGCCAAAGGCCATCACCTTGTAGCAGTAGGTACTGTGCTCGGTGATGAATGAGGTCTTCTCATCTTCAGGGTGCATCTTGATCTGGTCATATCCGGAGAAGGCATCCATGAAGCTAAGTAGCTCGTACCCTGTAGTGGCGTCGATGAGGTGGTCTATCCTTGGCAAAGGAAAACTGTCCTTAGGGCAAGCTTAGTTAAGGTCTGTGAAATCAATACAGACTCGCCATTTCCCATTAGTTTTCTTTACTAGAACCACATTTGACAGCTAGTTTGGGTAATGTACCTCTCAGATGAAGCTAGTGTCGAGTAGCTTGTCAATTTCCTTTCCTATGGCCTTCCAACGCTCCGGTGCAAAGTTCCTCTTCTTTTGCTGTACTGGCCTAGAGCTCGGGTCCACACTCAGCCTGTAAGTGATGACCAAAGGTTCAATAATGGGCATATCAGCGGCGGACCAAGCAAAGACGTCAGCATTAGTTTTTGAGGAAACTTATTAGTTCGGATAGGCTTTCTGGGGGAAGGTTGGACCCGACGTGGACTGTCTTTTCGGGCTCAGCCTCGTCCAAGGGAGCCAAGATGAGGTCCTCGGCCGGTTGGCCTTGGCTTTCTGGCTCCTCCCTGAGGTTAAGGCCCTCCAACGGTAGTGCTTCCTTATTCTTTCCCTTTAGTGCTACCACATAGCACTGGCGGGCGACTTGTTGATCCCCTCGAACGACTCTGATGCCGTGTTCGGTGGGGAACTTGAGGGCGAGGTGGTAGGAGGACATGGCTGCCTTGAGTGCGTGGAGGGTTGGCCTCCCCATGATTGCGTTGTAGGGCGAGCCAATCCTCACAACTAGGAACTCATTCATCCACGTCACCTATCGTGGTTCAGCCCCTATTGTGACAGGTAGGGTGATTCTTCCCTCCGGTCTGACCACGATTCCGGAGAAGCCAACAAGTGGGACGTCAGTAGGTTGGAGGCGCTCAGGCGCTAGCTTCATCTTCTCAAACGCTTCGTAGAAGAGGATGTTAGCCGAGGAGCCACTGTCGACTAGGATCCTCTTCACCACGAAGTTGGCGATGACAGCTGAGATCACAAGGGTGTCATCATGGGGGATTGTGACCCCCTTCAAGTCCTCGTCTGTGAAGGTGAGGGCTTCTTGATGCTTCGGCTTTTGGGGGGCAGGTTCCTAAATGTTCAACTGCCTGGCATAGGTCTTGTAGGCCGAGGCCAAGGCCCCACCTGATGCCATGCCCCCGACAATGATGTCGATGACGTCAGCTGCTTGCTAGTGTTGTTGCTGCTGCTGCTGGGAGGACGAGGCACCGGGCTCACCTCTGACAAACTACTTAAGGTGTCCGCGGCGGATGAGGGACTATATTTCGTTCTTCAATTCGTAACAGTCCTCAGTATCGTGGCTGGTGCTGTGGTGATACTTGCAGCATTTCTTCGGATTTCCCCTCTTGGGGTTCCTCTTTATCTTCTCTGGTCACTTCATATAATTCTCCTCGCCAACCTGCATCAATATCTGGGTCTGGGTGGAGTTGAGTGGCGTGTATTGACTGTAATCCAGGGCCGAGGCCGATGGCTTCTTGCTGTCCTTGCTGCTGTTGTTGTTGCGGTGGTCTCCGATCTTCCTTTTCTTCTCTGGGGTCCATTGTGACGCTCGGCTTCCCTCTCTTGGTTGTCTCCATGGGCCAGTTCCACAGTTCAGTTCAGTCGTTAAGTTCAGTCAAAAAAGGGTTTTAGGAACACCACACACATATAAGGAGACAGTTCAGAAGTTAGGCAACCCCTATATATACCCTTTCATCAACTACTTGAGCACACAGCTACTATAATTCCCCACAAAACATTAGCAAACCACTGTCACACAGTCACAGGGCATTCATACCTACACCACCCAGCTGTCTGGGTACAAGAAACAGGATCACTCGATCCACAGTTCTAAATAAAAACACCACAGTGGTTGCAGGTCATCCAGACCTCCAAAAAAAAACCCTTACTGGGTACAAGAAAGGATCACACGATCCACACAATTGAGAATTCCTGCCTTCACAGCATCAGAGTTCCCTTCTTTTAAGTATTTCTTGGCACACAACCAAGAAAGACGGGAAGAGAACCTAGGAGAAAAGCCCTTCAGATCAATCCAATCCACTCCCTAATCAGATTCGATCCACAACAGATGAGAAACTGAGAGACTTAGGAAGAAGAAACTAAGAGGGCTTTTATCACAGTGTTTCTAACCCCAGAAAGCCCGCTCTGATACCATGTTTTATGGGTTAAAAGTATCAGAGAAACAGAACTAGAAAAGGAGAAGAAAGGAGAGAAAAGAGATGAAGAGAATTCTAGGGTCAAAAAGTTATGACTGGCAGCCCAGTCATTAGTATTTATATCAGGGCATCTCAACTAATAATAAAAGAAAGGAAAAAGACAAGAATGCCCTCTGCGGCACTAAAGAACAGGAAAAAAAAGAATTAAAAAGGAGGCTAACTAACTAACTAACTGTTTTCAACAATATTATTTTTGTCTAATACTATGTAAGTAATTGTTTTGTATCTTGATGCATTTTATCATCCTATAGTGTTTGTTGGTTATTCTGTTCATTTTTGCTTGATCTCATAGTCATTCACTTAATATATGTTGCTTTTAAGATAATCTTGGCCTTTAGTCATGCTCTCCCGACTTCTTCTTTGTCCATGCTCCCTATGACATGCATTCTCTTCTACCAACATTTTATTATCTACCTTAGGATCTTGAGATTCAAAAGCCTTTCTAGAGAAATACTTATAAAATGAATGGCTTCTTCATAATAAGTTGTTTGGTAAATATTTTTTAAGAATGGATTTTACACACCCATAAAGGTCTGAGAGGTGCATTAGTCATTTAAAACATTAGGACTATGAGAGTAGTTTAGGTATTTAAATGGAGTCTTAATGTTACAATTTCAGTACATGTTGAACTTTTCTGTTGTGGAAGCCAAAATCTAGAAGCAGCAATTTTCTGGCTTCTGCTTTTGAAGAAAAAAATGACTCAGAGCAATCCCAAACAAGGCTTTATTAGTTTATTGCATCAGTTTGTGTAATACTTGTTTTTTTCTATCTTGCTAGGTCATTTGGTATCAATGCATTGTCTGGAAACATCCCGGCGGAGCTTGGAAAGCTTACAGAACTGAGATTACTGTAAGGCTTGGACCTCTCTCCCCCCTCCCCCCTCCCCCTCTCTATCAAAATGTTACAATGGGCTACTTCATCCAACCGAGACAGTATACACGTCTGCACACTTTCTGGTTCACTCATTGAATGCTTCTTATATAAGGTGGTAATTGTAAAGAGACTGGGCCGAATGGGTCATAACATCATCTCTTGTAATATCTTTTATTTTATTGTTGATGGGCCACACTTAATGGGCCTGTTATTTATTCTTGTTTTATTCTCTTTATGTAACTGCCAAGCTGGCCGCCCACTTAAGGGCACTTTTGTCATCATCTATTTTTTAGATCTTAATAAAATAAGGTTAGAGGAGAATGGAGATTAATTTTGACTCCTTCTCTTACCTCTAMTTTTCGCCATCTTCTTCTCTTGTATAGCTGTTCAGACCTTTTCTTTACTTCTTCTAATCCCTAAATTTGTTCTTGATATTTGAGGACTGATTTACATCTTGGTATCAGAGCAGGTTTAGTTCTTTCTTTTTCTTCGTTCCCATACACTCTAAAATCAAGAGTGTATGGAGAGATAGGTTCTCTATAGTATAGAGGATCACTCGCCTAGTTGGTAGAGGGTTTGGAGAGTTTAGATCTGACTGGATTTTGCCAAGAAGCGGTGCTGTTCTGCTGCTGCCCGAAACCCTAGCTGACTAGAGATTTTCGAGGTTACCAGGAAAGGTGAAGCTTGGGTGTGGCGCTTTGTGCTTGGAAGGTGTCTCGTGACTATTAAAGGAGGGCAGTTCAGGTTTGGAAGAGTTTGGGTTGGTCTGGCAGGTGCGGCTACATCTTCTCTCTTCCTCCCAACAGTTGGACGAAGTAAAACCCTAGTTTTTCAAGCACCCAAGTTCTGGTTTGACTTCAAGTAAGTTTATATAGACAAAAATTCTGGTTCTTTGTTTTTCGTTTGATTGATGGAGACATACGGAAGTGAGTTCAAGCAAGTGCCGGTTTCTGGCCTTGGCTCAGTAGATTCCGTTTTGACTGGTGTAACCACAATCAAGCTAGATGGAACAAATTTTCTTGCTTGGGCACAATCTATAAGAATCTATGTCTGTAGTARAGGAAAACTCGGGTATCTCACAGGCAGTAAGGTGAAACCCTAAGAGACAGACCCTGAATTTGAAAAATGGATGCAAGAGAACTATACTGTCATAGGATGGTTGGTCAACTCTATGCAACCTCATATAAGCCAACACTATCTATGGATGTCTTCGGCTAAGGAGATATGGGACAGTGTTACTGAGACCTATTCATAGAAATTGAATGTAGCCAGAGCTTATAAGTTGAAAGGTGATGTGAAGAACCTGAGACAGGAGGAGAAAGAGTGTAGCAATCTACTACTCTATACTGAAATCCCTATGGCAGGAAATTGATGTTATGGAGATAGTGGTATGGGAGAGTAAGAAGGATGTTGAAATGTATAGAAAGCTGGTGGAGTGAAATAGGGTGTTTGAATTTTTCACTGGACTCAACCCTGAGTTTGACATTATTAGACAAAATATCTTGGCCAGAGATGAGGTTACTCTTTCATAGGCATATGCTATGATAAGTAGTGAGGAGAGTAGGCGGCAGGTTCAGTTGCAGAGTCCACCTACAGAACATTTTGCACATGCAGRAATGAAGCCAAAGGGCCCTACTGAGAAAAGAGAGCAGATGTGTGAATATTGCAAGAAACCGAGACATACAAAGGACACTTGTTGGAAGCTTCATCCTGAGCTTTTCCCTGATAGGTTTAACAATAACAATAACTCTAAGAAGGGCAGTCAGGTAAGAAAACCTAAGACTGCTAATGTTGCTACAGTACCTGAAGGGGGAAGTAAGGAGAGTGAAGAGAAATCAACCATTGAGCAGTTGGYTGCAATGAAGCTGGATTTTGAAAAGTATGGGAGGCTCCTAAATCACTTGGAAGCTACGGTTTCTTCAGCTCACCTTTCCAACAACACATCATCTTCATCGGCTTTTGCTCACTCAGGTATTCGTGCTTCTGCAAATCATGCTTCAGTTCAGGTAATCATAAAATCCCTTGGATTATTGATTTCGGTGCATCAGACCATATGACCAACCTGTCTAATCTTTTTTGCTTATCACCTTCTCTCTGGAAAAGAGAAAATATCCCTTGCCGATGGGTCCCTTGCCCCCATCTCTGGTAAAGGTGATATAAAGACCTYTGACACCCTTTTCTTATCCTCTGTCCTTCATGTCCCTAAACTTAACACAAACCTTTTATCTGTTAGTAGCTTAACAAAATCCATGAATTGYAGCATAACCTTCTTTCCCACTCATTGTGTTTTTCAGGACTTGCAGTCTCAGAGGATGATTGGGAGTGGCCATGAGGCGAACGGAATATACTTGCTAGACACACCGGATCAAGCTTTGGTACCACCTCATGGAGTTGCCTTAGAGTCAGTTGTGTCAGAGTCTGTTAACAAAATTTTATTATGTCACCTTCGGTTTGGTCACTTGTCTTTTTCTGCTTTGAGTCATCTGTTCCCAGATATGTTTAAAGGAGTATCTTTATCGAGTCTTCATTGTGAGTCATGTGAACTGGCAAAGCATTGTAGACATTCCTATTTAATTAGCAATAAAAGATCTCTTTTTCCTTTCCATATTGTTCACTCTGATGTGTGGGGGCCATATCATATGCCAACCATGGGGGGGTACAGGTACTTTATCCTTTTTATTGATGATTATTCACGTTACACTTGGATTTTTCTCATGAAATCTAGGGATGAAGTACCAGTTATTGTGAAAAAATTTCATGAACTCATCCTCGCCCAGTTTAATACTCGTATCAAAATATTCCGTTATGACAATGCTAAGGAGTATTTTGAGAGAACCCTCTCCACCTATCTAGAAACTTTTGGGGTTATTCATCAAAGTTCTTGTTCCTACACTCCACAACAAAACGGGGTGGTGGAAAGGAAGAACAGACATGTCGTTGAGGTTGCCAGATCCCTCTTATTTGCATCTCATGTTCTTATAAAATTTTAGGGAAATGTTGTTCTTACTGCTACTTTTCTGATTAACCGTATGCCCTCCCAGGTCCTTGGCTTTAAAACCCCTTTTAGTCTTCTCTTCCTGGATGAGGATATCTTTTCTCTTCCTCTCTGTGTTTTTGGGTGCACTTGCTATGTGCATATTCATAGTCATCAATGGCACAAGTTTGAACCTAAGGCTCATAAATGTGTTTTTCCGGGATATGCTTCCACAGAAGGGTTATTGTTATTTTGATCCAGTTTGTGGCACCTACTTTGTATCTCGAGATGTCACCTTTGCCGAGTTGACCCCCTTCTTTAGCATTCCTCCTGAGGGGGAGAAATCTAACAAGCCCTTTGCTATGTCTCYAGCTGTTCCTCTTCCCATTCCTTGTGAGTCCGATCATGGGGTGTCCACTTCTCCCACTAGACCTACCTCTGATATTCCTTGTGAGTCCGATATTCCTGCTCCTGCTCTCCAAAGGTGGTACCAAAGGCAGAGATTCAGACATGTGCAGGTTGTTTCCACTCCTTCAGAAGAGCATCTCGCCACTCCTATCATTCCTGAGGTAACAGGTCAGCCCTCTACTGACCCATCTCTAACTGTCCTAGACCTTGACCTTCCTATTGCTCTCCGCAAGGGCAAGCGGAAGTGTACAACCCATTGTATTTCCAAACACTTGTCTTACAGCCTTCTCTCCCCTTCCTACTACTCTTTTCTTGCCTCTGTTTCTTCCCATGTGATACCCAGGTCTGTACCAGAAGCATTATCTCAAGCTGAATGGAGGGATGCTATAATGGCCGAACTAGATGCATTGCATAAGAACCATACCTGGGATATTGTTGACTTGCTGGAAGGGAAGGAACCAGTGGGTTGTAAATGAGTG